ACCCCCCCAGAGAGTGTACTCGCACGTGCGCACATATGCTTCAGTGTTTTAAATATTTCTCGCTTTAATTTTATTTTTCTGTTTCCTCTCTTGCTGTACCTCTCCTATGAACATTGCAGCAAAGGACAGATGATAAAAAGGGGGAAAAGACAAAGAGGACAAGGTAGCTGAGAGGAAGCTTGGAGTCCAGAAAGGTCAAAATCCGCCCCCAGCTTCCTTGATTCAGCTTATAACTTTAAAATGTCGCAGTTAGCACAAGCATTGGCTAAGCACTAAAAGCTGGGGAAAAAAATCTTAAAAGTTATGAAGCTGTTGCGTACGCTTGCAGATGACTGCGCTCGGGGAGCGTGGCAGTACCTCCTGCTACTTCCAGCTTTTCTTTCAAGACCGGCATTCACTTAGATTCAGTTTACATCTGGGGAAAAAAAAGTCTCCGAAAGGTTTTTTTGCAGCTCCAGGTTTGCTCTTTAGCAACCGCTGCATCAAATACCCTCGACGGACAAGTACGAGGCGGCTCCGCTGCCAGCCTTGCGCGTACAGGCTGGGCTCGGAAGGCTGCGCTGGCCACACAGAAACTTCTTCCTCCGCATAAGGGCTTTTTTTTTTTTCTTTTGTGCTTATAGTGACTTCTTAGGTAAAGCTTTTCAACATGACGGGAGTCTGAGATTCAGGCTAAGTTTTTCTCTTCATTCCTGTGCCTGTCAGGAACGCCCCAATCCACAAGACAGGACCTGAATGAACTGTTCAGGAACCTCAGCTCTGCTGGTAGTTTTGCCAGAATGTTGCCAAAGGCCATAACTAAGTAATTCGATTGGTGATATTTGATAGAAAATAAATAGCTCTCACTGCCTTTGGCAGAGCCTCCTCTGAGACACTGAACTGAATTTTGATTTTTTTTTCAAGCAGCTGACGGCTCAGTTGAGGTTATTTCAAAGCTCTCTTACGGGCCTTTTTGGGTCTTACGAAGGCTTAGTGATTGTGTGTAGGAAACCAAATGGATTTTTATTTTATTGGAGTAAAACCTGTAGAAATAAGACTTTCTGAATAAGGCTTCCGTCTGAACCTGCATTTTCTTATAACCGTTCACATGAAGATGTGAGATTATTCAAATTAAATGGTCTCAAAGTTTTTTTTCCATTAGTTCAAGTTAAAATGTGAGTAAACTGTTTACATGAAGAGTGTTGTCCAACTTTACCTGGCGTAAACGATCTTAGTTTTTGAAAAGAAAGCATCAAATTACAGCATTTGTTTTAATGAAAACATCATACTAAAATTATAGGATTTATTTAATGTAACTACCAATAAAATTGCTAAGCGTGGGCTTTTTAGTTTTTCTTTAAAATACATTCAAGGTCTGTATCTGGGAGATTAATCTCTTGGTGTATTTTTTCTGATTCATGTGGATCCAAAAAAGCCAATTTGACTTTCTCATAATGGCAAGAGCTGCACGTTTAATTGGCTTGTTCAGCATCATCTTTAGAGCAATTTGTGCCGGTTTTCCTGTGTTCTAAGCATCCAGAAATGACTCCAAGTTTCACTCATCGCCATAGGTATAGTTAGATAAGATATACCTTCTTAAGGGAGAGGAGGAGTAATTAAACCTGCTAGCCAATTAGCAATCACTAGAAATTACTTATGTATATATATTTATATATGTACTAGCAGGAATTGTAGAACTGAAAGACCATTTCAGACCACTTACTTCAAGTCATCCAAGAGCCCAAAGTGATTTAATCCTTACCACTGCATTAAAAAAAGGGCAGAGAGGACCAAGTTCCTCCATGCAAAAGTTAATTATTAATATATTTAAAAAACAATGATAAATTATTAATAAGAAGATCACAGGAATCAATAGTCACATCAATACTAGAATGACTGGAAAGGCATGTTTTTGAGATTGGAGCCTTTTTCTCTTCAATTTTGTCTTGCAAAATGAAACCAGTAGGATTTATGGATTTTAAAGTGTACTCTGAAATTCTGCAGAGTTTTACAGAGAACACTTCACTTTATGACAAGGACTTTTAATTTGTGCTGTGGAACACACTGAAATAGTAAAGCACTTGAGCTTGCACGTAACGAGGGTAATCTTACTCTGTTCAAACATCCGTCTCGCTGCCTTGAGCACAGTGCACTGCCCTGGGAGCAGCGCGCTGGCAGATCATGGGAGAGAAGATGTTGCTTCATGGTGAGACTTGCACCTAATACTGGTGTCTGTGGGGGTGAGTGCAAGAGGTTGTTAATATGCACACAGAGGAGAAAGTTGTCAGAAACACAGCGTTTTGGGATTGGTAGAAGACATTTTCTGAGGGCGGATTTCTACTCCCAGGGAACAGTGTCTTTATTCAGCTCTTTTGATCGTAACATTTTGAATCTGTTTAGTAGAGAGAGAAAGGGGGAAAAAAAAGCTTGAATTAAAATGGAGAAAAGTAAAGGAGGGAATTAGGTAGGATGAGGACCAGATTTTTGCCTTGTCCGAAGTCTTCAGTACTGTAGAAATAAATACTGTGGCTAGATATACATTAACTAAATAGACACAATTGCTGGTGGAGTAACCACTAAGTAAACAGTTCTGGAGATTCTTAACCTGATTCTTTCCCATATGCAAAAATGCAGTCAGATAATTCTCTAGGAACTTTAAACCGGAGAAGCTTAATTATTATAAAAGCTGCGGATCAGGCTCTATGGAGTTACTTTGCTGCAAGGGGACCATCAGATCTTCCTTGATTTTTTTAATGGACGATGGATGATTGAAGCTGATCAATCAGCTGATCAGGTACGAATGGCAACAGATTTTCTACCCTGTCTCTGGAACATGATAACTATCCAGTTTGCCCAAGTGCTGCGCACCTGGACTCTAGGCCTCTGTTAGAGAGAGGGTCCAACTGATGCAAAGAGCAAAGCTCTCTGAGCAGAGCTGCTCCTTGCATGTCCTGGGAGAAGGTGTGCCAAGACTTGCTTCTCCACGTCTCTGTGGCAGCACCAATAAAAGGGGTGAAGGGTGGTTCACATCCGGGAGAGCGGAGCTTCTACCCGAAAAGGCGGCTTTGACCCTTCCTGGTAATTTTTATAAAGGATGCATAGGAACATAGTGATTTGTTGCATGTATAGGGAGCCCCTAAAGACTCATGTGTTGACAAGGACTCTTCATTTTGTGGGCTCCATGGACTTCACAGCTCTGCTGGAATAAAATTGCAGCTGTTTTGCACAATTACACCTCTAATTGGGTTTGATTGCCACCTCCATACCCCAGCTAGTCCAAGCAACAAATTGGCTTTGGCTTACTAAGCTTGCTGAAGGCTCGCTCCTTGTCTCCTGCAGTGAGGGTAAAGAAGAACTATTTTCTGCTAAATTCAAGCAAGGAACGCTTTATTAGATTAATAAAAAGTATGTATGTGTTTTTTTTTTTTAATTCCCGAAACCATATTTTCCCTTGCTATAGTTCACTGTGTTATTTCTGCCTTGACATTTCTACATGTCTTTGCCTGTCTTCCTATCTCCTACAAAGCAGGCAGGGTTCCTCGGGCTGGCAAAGGGAGCGCTAGAAACATTGGTCGTGCTTACCTGCGAGGAATAGTCAGATCTTTGAAATTTTAACTAACCCATGTTACAGTCTTCTCAATAGCCCCTGATGAAGTGGATTCTGTAGATGAACTTGCAAAGTCATTTCTGCACCAATCAGAATGATTAGGCAGAATGTGTACGTTAATTCGTTTACGAAACAGTGCAATCAGTTTTTTGGTAAAATGAAAAACATCCAGTATGTCAGAGGTGTGGTAGTTTCCAAACTTCAAAGGTTTTGCTTTTTTTGCAGTAACCATTTCTTCTTATGTATGTGTGTTACCGCACTATTTGCGGTTGAGATCACCCTACAAAGTAGCCAGGGAAACATTGTAGCTGAAGCATGGTCTCTTTCCTCTGTTTACTCTGAAGTTTGCAACGGTAAATATAAGACTGTCCATTCTTTCACCTACCAGAAAGAGCTATTCACACAAGGGTGAATAGGACCTTATAAAATTTTAACATAATACATGAATACTTATAAAATGTATGGGCACTCTTGCTGGGGCGTTCAAGGCAAGCTATAGTAAAATGTGGGACTTGGAATTTGCAGCATGGCTAGAGTTTCCAGGGATTTGCTGCCTTCTCAAAAGGCTGGAAAAAGAAATGTGTTTAGCAGCCTTTTATTTGGGCTTGAGGATATGGTTTCAGTTGGCTCTAGCACCCCAGAAGATGCTCCTCTTGTGGATGGATTTGCCTGGTAACTGGATTGCCCATCATAGTTATGTGACTTGGTATTTACTACATTAAAGTCATGCACCGTGGAAAAACAGCCAGTGTTACATTCCCCCGCTGTGCCTGAATACAAATGTGCCCTGTCGTTACAGCGAGGAGCTTTGGCACAGTATACATGCAGACTCCTAATGGGATACTTGCTTACCTTGCTCGATGACTTTGAGTAGCAACAAATAAATCAATTATGCAGACAGTTAAATTACCATCAGTAGTCTTCAGAGTAAACAGAGGTGAACCTCTGCAGCCCCATACAGACAGCATGGCATTGAGCCAATCTCACTGGGTAGCCTTTGTGAGTATACAGGCAGAGAGAGGGTTGGCAAATCTGCACAGCTTCGGCAGCAAGAAAAATAGCCAACCAAAAGGTACACAGAAATGTATGCATACTTCTCTGCCTGTCTGGCAACATCTGAAACAGTCCAGAACTGCTTTATATTAGGTGGAGAATTACTACTAAAATAGCATGAGTTTTTTTTTTTTTTTAAGTCTTCGGCTGTGGGTTGGATTTAGAAGGAATGGTAAAAACTAACGTGTTTTTTGGCCAAAGTGTATTCTTAACTCCATCCTTGACTGCAGCAGAATGTGATGGAATATGGCAGAAAAAAAACCCAGAGCAGGTATTAATGTTTCTGTATTTCCTTCGCACTGCTCAGCTAAGGGTTTCAGCTCACTTTCAAAGACTTAGGTGTTGCAAGAGGCTGAAGGCTGAAGGCAATTGTGCCTTATCTCCATGTTGCAGATTTCTGTTGACTTGACTGAAGTCAAAAAGGGAGTAGGTGGAGGACAAAGCATGCAACTCAGGCCATGTGTGTCAAAACCTCTCTTGCTGAGAGCAGCTCCTCGCACTGGTTGGAGCTTGCACAGGTAAGCTGCTTGTACATGCTCACATAGGTATTGCAGTCTCTGGTTTTGGTAGTTTGAACTGGCCTGCCCATTTTTACTGGCTGTCATGAGGAAAGAATAGCTCTTCTGTGTAGACCAAACACTGCTTAGCAGTAAAGCAAGTTTTCCTTCTTCCAAATGTGAACACTATGATAAGGAGTATAAAATGAACTGTGTAAAGTGAGTATCAAATGGCCTTTCCCCTGTAAAACTAGGTAATATTTGAAAACCAAAATCCTTGAATGTTTAATTTTAAACTTACTTTGTTGTCTTTTACATTTACAGGTATATTTTGAAAACGATACTTCTGGGCCAGATGCTTTCCTTGTTTATCTGTGGGACTGCTGTTACAAGCCAGTACCTAGCAGAACAATACCAAGTGAATACTCCAATGTTTCAGAGTTTTATCAGCTATTCTTTGCTTCTTCTAGTTTATACAACGATGCTGGCATTTAGGACTGGTATGTAATCTATGGAGTCCCATTTTGTTTTCTTCTACGTTCTCCTCTGGGGTTTTGAAACTAGACAAA